GCTATCGTTGTTTCTCCAAGTTCATAGTTTCCAGAGACATGTGGTTTAGGAAGTGGATGCCACTCTTGCTTCCCAACCTCTTTTACAACTGGGAGCTCCACCAAGCACTATCCACAAGGGGAAACCATTATGGTAATTGCTATCCCCATGGCACAAGGTTCAGCATCACAGCAAACCCAGGTTACCTCATACAGAACATTGACAAAGAGTGATGTGCAAAGTGGAAGAATGTTCCTCCAAATATAACAGCACTAGTCTAATTTAGCAGTGGCTAAGTGTTGTCGAGCTGAATATGACTCAGAGTAAGATTTGCACAAAAGACCTGAAATCTGTTCTATAATTGACATCATTTCTGTACATTTATAAGAGACTGCAGTGTTTAAAGAAGCATCTAGTTTAGGAAGTGGATGCAACTTCTGCTTCCCAACATGAATCAACCTGCAAGCTCATCTAAACACTATATATAATGGGTAACCATTATGGTATCTGACACGACTATGGAATAGTGTTCAGCATCATCAGCAAACAGGCAAATGATTGTTGTGTCTTTAAAAGAATGTTTTCCTAAAATTAATAATACAGATTGTGACTATATCACCAATTTCTGTACCTGGATAGGAGCTGGCCTCAGGGCAAAGAGTTCATTTCGAGCACCCTTGGTATAACCATTCATATTTACAAGAATATGTATTCCATCCTGGTGGATGCGATCAGCTGCTTTTCCATTGCATGGAATCTATGAAATAATAAATTATTATGTGTAATCTCAGGTTAATTACATATAGCATTAAAAACAACTCATATTCAAGATGCTAAAGAGATAAACACAAAATGTAGTACTAGAGGGTAGACGTATGGCTAAGTTCCATTAAAATATGTCCAAAGCATTACAAAAACTAAACACAAAGGCGAGTTTATGTCTAAATAAGAGAAAAAGGAACACAGGGGCACAGGACTGTGAACACCTCTCTGAAAGGGCCAGAGGCTATGAGAATAGCACATTCCTTCACTGCCCCAGACCAGAAAACAGATAAAGAGCCCATTGCCCAGCTCCACGGTGTCTCCAGAGTCATAGCAACAGCAAGGGGTTCACTTATTTATTGCTGATTCAAAGACTCACAGTTATGGTACCAACAATGGGGGCTAATTAGGGAAGGAAGTAGGAGAGTGGGTACCACCCAATACAAGTCCAGGTTTCAGCCCAAGTTCCAAGGCCCAATTCCCCAATTACTCGAGGCTCTGGTTTCAGTTCAGCAAGTCTACCTCAGAGTAGTTTACAACCAAATCATCCAGGAATGTTTGTCTCAGAGTAGTTACAAATCAGCTTCTCCTTCAAGCATTCGGCAAGAACAGTAAAAACTTTTAACTGTAGCCTTTCCTTTATCTCAGGGCTCCTTTGCTTACACCTTGCCAGTTTCTCCACTGCAATGCCACAATCTCTCCACAGCCAGAGTCTCACTCCAGTCTCCCTCAAGTCTCAGTGTTGGAAGCACTTTTTCTCTTATCCTACTCCTACAACTGTTGGTGATTTACAAGACCATGTGCCTGTAGTTAAGGTAGCTGGAGACCAGAGGGGACTAACTGTAATGGCTAAAAAAAGCTAATGCCACAGTTCACTTCTGGATTTAAAGAGAATTTAAAATCTAATTCAAAAAATGGACATTTGGAGGGAATTTCAATATTATATCTAAATATAATAAAATTTCAGTAGAAAACAGCGTGACTAAAGAACCAGAGTAAAGCAGGTGGCTTAGAGCATGGTAAAAAGATGATTTTTATTTGATATAGGTAGACATAAGAAATCCTGGTAGTGCAGTAGTTAAGCACTGGGTTGCTAACCCAAGGTTGGCAGTTTGAACCTACCAGCCACTGCAGAGAGTAAGATGTGGCACTCTCTTTCCCTAAAGATTGTTATTGTTATGTGCTGCTGAGTCACCTGCAACTCATAACGATCTTATATACACAGTTCTGAAGCTGGCCCTGTTCTGAGCCAGTCTCACCAACCCCACTGTTTCAATTACTATATCAATCCATCTTATCTGGAGTCTTCCTCTCCTGTGCTGTCTCTCCACCCTTCCAAAGCATGATGTCCTTCTCCAAGGATCAGTCTTTCCTGGCCACATGCCCAAAGTATGTGAGACTGCGCTTCAAAATCCTAGCCTCCAAGGAGAAACCTGGTTTCACTCTCCTCAAGACAGACTTATTTGCTTTCTTGACAATCCATAGGATATTTAAGTCTTCTCCAACACCACAATTTGAAGGCATCGATTCTTCTTCTGTCATCCTTAGTTACTGTCATTGAATGAAATCTGAACTATTCAGCATGGCCTTCTAACCTTCACAGCTTTATCACAATTTTTTTTAGCAATATTCACTCATCCTCATGTTTACCTATTTTGTTATGTACTGTTGTTTTCAACTCTTAGAGATCCTATTAGATAGTATGTGTCGTTATGCTTTAGCCATAGTGTCAAACCTATATAAAAAATGGTCCAACAGATTTCTAAACAGCTATATTGTATAAGATGTTAGTTCTTATTATTTATTAGATGACAGGAGTCACAACCTTTCTGCTAAGACTTCAATGACTCTTCTATTACTAAATATTGCATGTTATATCTATAAAGCAGTCACCGAAGTAGCCAAGAGTATCTAAAGAACGAACTCAAGTCTATATTTTCAGCAAATTAATGTCTCCACAGGTTCAATTCTCCTAAAACTAAAGCACAGAAATAATGACCAAAATGCTTCCAAAAATAGATGAATCCTAACAGTCATTTCCTTTAAATAACCTATTGCATTTTCTTCCAAGTCATTATACTGTTTTAATGTATTCAGTTAATATTTATTAAGTATCTGTCACAAGTGTTAGTTCAATCCCTGGAAAAGGTAAATATGAAAGCAAAAATACCCTTTTTTCCTTTCCCAACCTTAGCCAAAGTCATGTCAATTAAAATGCAGATGACCCAACAAAACAATTGCCCAAATCCAAACTATACACCAGCAGTTTTATGAGATAACTGCTCATAATAAAAGTTGGTAAGATAGTCACCTACCTGAGAAAGATCAATGAAATGATTGGCTTCTGCCATCACCTTCACTCGGAAGTTTGTGCCATCATCTGGACTCAGTGCATAGCAGAATACCTGAAAGGTTGTGCAAAGTTTATTTAATGGCCGTAGTCAAATTTTACCAAAAGAAATTAGACTTAACAAATGGTAGAAATAAAAACATTACCATGTTTGGGCTTTGTTTTTGCTTTTTACAAAAGCAAACAGTGATTTTACATAAACATTTTATTCTTACCTCAAATTTATCAGGATTGTGCATGCCTGGAATTGACTGCATAAGGTGAGAAGTTGGATGATTCCCAAAGTCAGAGCTCACATATCCTACACGCAGTCGACCATCACTGAGCTTCAAGTCTTTTGGATGTTCATATGGTGGTTTATGAAGGACATTGATCTACCAACGGGATCCAAGGTTTGTCAACAAAGGTGAGTCTATATAAATTTTCCTCTAGGAAATGTGACTAAATATACATCAAACCTATGCCTCACATCTTTTAGGAAGGTTTGTCCAGAACAGTATATATAAATATATGCTTCACAATTTGTCCCATTCCTGAAGTCCATGAAACATTCCAAGCAAAGATAAAACCTGAATAAATGAGGCAGTGTGGATAGAGCATGACAAACCCCTCCTTTTAGGAAATTCTGTAGGGAAATAATTTTTTTAATTTTATTTTATTAATTTTAATGAACATTCACAGAGATTTTGGATTTCCATTCATTCATTGTTGCACTCCTCTCCCTGCCCAGCCCTTCCCCCTCCCCAAGTCCGCTCCTCTCTTTGAAAAGCAAAAGAAAAATTCTTCCTTTGGTGAAATAATTTTTTAAAACGAAGATATACATACACCACAATCTGTTCTGCCAAGCAAATGCATACCTATCGTTAAGTAGTACTCAAATTTTCAAAGGATGTAAAAATACCACATATTTTCTTAAACATAATGGTTTTCCACTTAAAGAAAGCACCATCATAAACCAGTACATAAGTTCAGTATGCTACCTTAAGAACTAGAGTGAGTAGAATGGCTTCTGGAATGACTGATAGTTTCTCTACTAGATGGTGTTTCACTTTTCAATTCATGTGGACATAGATTTGATTTGTATTTCTTTTTTAAATCTGTGTTTTGTTTTACAATAAACTAAACATACCTTATCCAAGCAGAGGTTCCCATGCCTCTCGGCAATAGCCTTCCTGAAACCATGAGAAAGAGGATATAGCATACTATGATGAGGATGCACAGAAGGCAACCTATTCTTCTCTAGCTGGTCAGCCACAATGCTGACCAACTTCTTCATCCGTTCATCGTAGTCTGTCCAATCACAGACAATCTAGAACATGCAAAAAGAAGTTATTACCCAGAAAACCCTATTCCAGAATTTAATATTTTGCATTTCTTTGCCCAAAGTAATGTCAGACAACCCACAGTCTCTAAAAGACACTGTCTCTATAGTATAGCTTGGATTAATTTACGGCACATAACAAGAAGTGATTTCAGTGACTTTACCTGCAGGCAATGAGCTAAATTACAATAAGCATCAGGAAAATCGGGCTTCAGTTTCAGAGCAGTGCGGTAAGAAGCTATAGCTTCTGGAATATTCCCTGAATCCTGGAAATAAATAAAATGGGTTGATAAAATAATTTCCCAAAGTTAAATAGAGCACTAGCATATGCATTTTAATTATAGTAAAATACCTTATGAATAGAAGCCAGATTGCTATGGGCATCTGCAAATGCAGGATTAATCTGAATGGCACGAGTATAACACTGCAAGGCTCCCTGAACATCCTGCATCTCTTTTAGTGTATTTCCCATATTCGAGTAGGCATCAGCAAAGGTAGGACTGATTCTAAATGAAAGGAAAAAAGGTTTTATTTGTTCAGCATAAAACTTTTAGCCTCTAAGGTTAACTGTGCTATTAAGAACTACTTATGTCCATAAGACCATTACTGTAAAACAAGAAGGTTAACTAGTAAGATGTAGATAAAAATTCAAAGGGGGAAGGGGATGAAGAAAGAAGGGCTGAGAGTCGGGAGGGAGGGAAATCATAGGGTCGCAGAGTTTGGTGGGCAGAGGGCGGGCCTGAAGGAATTAAGAGAGAGCTAATAGGGACCTGAAAAGACGAGGTGACAGTGGGCCTAAATCAAGGATGATTAATTTTATAAAACACAGTATATGGGAATGATATGAAATAAAATGTGAATGAAGCAATGTGTGAAACACAATGTACATTAATAAAACACAATATATACAAATTTTGTATCAAACCAATAGAAAACAAAAAAAGTGACAAAATAAAAATCAAAACCATTTAAGTTCAAGGCAAACCCATCAAGCATTTTAAAATTTAAAGACAAAATAAGGCTATGAAGTCTCTTACCGAATTGCCTCCTTATAGTGCATCAGAGCTTCCTGCAGTTTTCCCTGCTGCTGCAGTACACTTGCTAAATTTGAATGGGCAGCAGCAAACTCTGGGAAGACCTAAAAATTTAAGAACAGAAGTGAAGAGAAAAATGATGACTTATCTATCTTATCAAAACTTAAAAACTTTTTTCACTTATGTTTATGCCCCAAACTACCTCTTCCAAGTTTACTCATTGATACAGTGAATAAAAAAATGGGCTCGAGAATATCAGAGATCATGAGGATGGCACAAGATAAGAGTGAAGTTCAGCTATGTTCTTCAAAGGGTCACTGTGACTTGTAGGCAATTTTAGGAACCTAACAGTAACTCGTCTTAAGGGCTAATAGCTATGAATTCTACCTATTCTTTAATTTTTTACCTCACTTTGTTCCAAAACATAATATAGCTCAAGACTACTACTGTGAAAACAGGAGGATAACTGAGGGGGGGAAAGGGGTAAGAATAGAAATGGAATGGGTAGACAAAGAACACTACAAGGACCAAAACGGGGGTGGATCAGCCTGGGAAGAATTGAGATAAAGACAATATGGCTATTACAATTCACAAATATGAACAAAACATATGTAACAGTTTAAAAACAAAAAGGGAGAAGGGGTGTGAAATAATCAGGACAGTAGAGATTCTGTGGGGAACTCAAAGGGGTGAAGAAATAAGAACAATAGGGGCTTGATGTGGAGATAAGAGACCAATAGTAATTGTATAAAAAACAATGTACAGAAATAATTGTATAAAACAAAATTTGCATGATACAGGTATATGATTGTATAAAAGTGAATGAAGGTATAAATATTTTTTTTACTTTTGAAAATTACTTGACTATTTTAATATATATACATACATACTGTATGGAACTCAGCAAGACTACTATTGGATGTTTAGCTAGAAATGTTTAGATAAGAAAATGTGTATCCACCAAAAGACTTAGTATCTTTATGCATAGGCAAAAATTTGAAACAACTCAATAGGCTTTCTCCATCAATAGAATTTATAAATAACTTGAAATAATTATTAAGTGAAATATAAAAAAATACATATATTAATATGCATAAATCTCAAAAATCTGACATAAAATATAGAACAATGTGAGAAAAAATTGAGTGGGGAGGGAAAAAAAGAGACTTTCTGGGATATTAGAAATATTCTATATCTTGATGAAGTTGTGTACTATACAAGTGTATTATTATTGTTGTTAATAAATAATAAAATTTAAAAACAAAACAAAAATGTGTAGACTTCTCTTGCTCTTGAGTTTATGCTTACAACACTTCAGCACCATTAAAATCTACCTTCTAAACTCCAACCATAACTACTAACTACCATAAAAAACAACTCTGGTGGCCTAGTGGCAAGCAGCTGTGTTGCAATCCAGCAGGCATGTGGTTCGAGGACACCACCTGTACTGTGGGAGAAAGATGGGTAATCTCCTCCTGTGTGATTAACTGCCTCTGAAAACCCACTTGAGGGTCAGCTGTGAGTCAGTTCCAACTCGACCGTACATAACAACAAAAATTATCGTTACTGCTAATATCTCTTTAACTATGGTCTGCTGTTTAAATTTTTGTGAATATCTTATATTCCCTTAGAAGGATAAATTACGAATACTAGGATTCTCTTTAATGTCACAAAGGACCTCACTCACATAGGTACTCAATTATTGACTCAATTAGTAATCTTGTGGTGTGTTGTGGTGTTGTTTTTTTTTTAAATCGCTCATCACTAATTATTGGGAGGAGAGCAGAGAGGACACTGAAAACTTGGCTGTGTTCTTTCTACTATCACATAGAAAAAAATATTCAACCACACCACTCAACATACTTCTAATGCTTTACGATACAAGCGAACTGCCTCTTCAATGTTTCCCTGTTCTCGTTTGATATTAGCTAAGTTATTCAGAGAGTCTGCATGGGTAGGACACAGGCGGAGGGCCGTATTATAACAATCTTCTGCTTCAGCAACCTAAAAAACAAAACAAACTATTCAAAAACTATTAAGGAGTCACAGAGGCATTACTACCATTTTTCCAACAATTCTAATAACTGTTACTCTAAAAACAAGAGCATTTTCTAACTATTTTAGAGTTCAAATATTCCATAAATTAGTAATTTTGCTATTCTTTCTCTCAACCAAGTTTCAATTTACCATCTAACTACTTAATAACATACACAAAAATATATTTTTAATCCTACCAGGTAAAAGAGAGAGAGTGAGTAAAAATCCTTACACTGCCTTTCTCTTTGAGAGCATTGGCTAGGTTGCAGTAAGCATCAGGGAAATGTGGTTGCAGTTCAATAGCTCGCCTGTAGGTGTCTATTGCCAAATCTATCAGGCCTTGCTCATAGTATACACAAGCCAGGTTGCCGTGCACCACTGCATGATTTGGACTCAAGCTTAGGGCACGAAGGTAAGCTGCCACAGCTCTGTAAACAAAAAACAAAACACACACAAATGCAACTAATTTTTAATGGATGCTTTGTTACAATTAATTCATGCTACACTATACCAAAGAGTTTCCATTGTCATTAACTATAATTCATGATGTACTAAATGTTAACCCCAAATTTTATCTTTATAAAATGTATTTCTACATGGAAAATCTTCCTCTTTCCACATAGGACAACATGGTTTCCTTTGGTAGCAACAACACTAAAGGTAAAAGATAAGATTTACTTAGCTTTCTGAATCAGATTAATTTCATTTACAATAAAGGAAATTTTAACTAAAACCTGAATAAAAAAAGATAATGGTTTTCAGGAAATCCAATAATGGAAAGTCAAGCAACAATATCTATAAATAAAAGGAAAGTCAGTAGTGTGTTACCTCAAGCTACTGAATACTGAAAAAGCACAGAAAGACATTCTAGGGGAAAAAATTTATCTCAATAGATTATGGTCATAATTTTACTCCAACATCTCAAATGCCAATGCAAAAAAAAAAAAACTCAGAAAAACATATCAAACAGAACATTCTCACCTGTCAAAAATACGAGCTTCTTTCAAGACATTTCCTAAATTGATATAAGCATCCAGAAAATTTGGGTCAAGGGTGACAGCCTAAAAATTACAGAACAGTTACTTAGAGAAAATAAGGCTTTTGTCAGGTCATAGCTTTTCATTTTAGGATCATTTTAGACCTCTAATTATACTCAGGAGCTCTGGTTACCTAGTAGAAAGGAGCTGCACAGTCAACATGAGGGCACATGGTCCAAGTCTATCAGCTGCTCCCAGGGAGAAAGCTGGGCAATCACCTCTTGTGCAATTAAACTGCCTGTGAAATCCCACTGGAGGGTCAGCGAGGAGTCAGATCCAACTCAATGGTACAGAACACCAAATACATTTTTATAATTTTTTAAAAGAAAGTGTAATTTTTAAAATATTATTTATACACTTATCATTCACAGGCTTAAGGTTATTAAAATAACTTCTCGTGTAAGAGCAAAAGTGTCTTAAAGGGGAAAAATAATAAAGAGTCTATTCCAAATCTTTTGAGATGACTAATAATAACTGTTATCAGCACTCATGGCAAGAGCAGTCAGGAAACTGAAAGAATAATTGCACTGGGAAATTCTTCCGTCTGGGACCTCTCCAGAGTACTGAGGAAACAACGATGTCAGTCTGGAGACTAAGGCCACGGTCTTCACAATTACTTGATATACATCAGAGAGCTGGACAATGACTAAGGATGACAGAAAAAGAACTGATGCCTTTTCTTTGAGTTATGATGCTGGAGAAGACTTCTGAATATACAATAGACGACCAAGAAAACAAATAGATATGTCTTTAGAGAGGGTGAAACCAAGTTTCTCCTTGGAGGCTAGAATTTTGAAGCTCCATCTCACATACTTTGGGCATGCGGCCAGGAGGGACAAGTTCTTGGAGAAGGACATCAAGCCTGGAAGGGTGGAGGGACAGCACAGAAGAAAGAGACCCTGGATAAGACGGATTAATAAAGTAATTGGGTCAACAGGAATACGTGTGTTAGAGTCAGTGAGACTGGCTCAGGACAGAACAGGCTTCAGAGCTATTGATTTGCAGGCAGCTTGATGGCACATCATAACAAGAATAATTGTAAAAGCTGCTGTTTGAACAAAGCCAAGAGTTTAAAATCAAGAATGGTACACATCAGGGTTATCTTTTCTCCAGACCTATTCAATCTGTACACTAAGCAAACATTCAAGAAGCTGGACTCTGCGAAGAACAGTGTGGCTTTAGGATTAGGATTGGAGAAAGACTCATCAACCTGCATTATGCAGATGACACAACTTTGCTTGCTCAAAGTAAGCAGGACTTGAAGTCCCTACTGGAGAAGATCAAAACTATAGCTTTCAATATGGATTACATCCCAACATCAAGAAAAAATATTCTGATACCTGCTACATCAAAAAAAAAAGAAAAAATATTCTCACCACTAGACCAATAGGCAGCATCATGAGAGGAAAAAAAAGCTGAAATTATCAATAATTTCATCTTATGTGGATCCACAATCAACACTCTTGGTACCAGCAGTTAGGAGATCAGGAGATGCACTTGCACTGTAAAGTCAGGGACCTCTCCAAATTACTGAGGCACATCATGTCAGTTTGAGGACTAAGGTGCATCTGATTCAGGCCATGGTATTTTCAATCACTTGCCATGCATCTGAAAGCTGGTCAAGGAATAAGGATGACAGAAGAATTGATGCCTTTGAGCTGTGGTTTTAAAGAGGAGTAAAAAATTTCCACAGACTGCCAAAAGAACAAACAGATATATCTTGGAGATAGTGTAGTCTGTGTTCCTTGGAGGCAAGGGATGACAAGGATTCGTCTCACATACTTCAGGTGCATTGCAGGAAAGGCACATCATGCTTGGAAAAATGGGAAAGTCAGCTAAAGAAAGGAAGAGCCTCAACTAGATGGATTGATATAGTTACTGCAGCTATATCCAAGTGTGGGACCAAGGGTGTCAGAAATGATGAGGATGGCACAGCATAGGACCAAGTTCAGATCTGTTTATAGGGTCACTATGAGTCATATTCAACTCGACGGCACCTAACATTACTTATGTGCAGCCAAGGTACAGAACTAGCTGCTTGCATAGTAAATACAAACTTAATGATGACACTGAAAAGGTAAAGAAAATTCAAAGGAATTTATTACTGTTGAATCAAAACCAACTCATAACTGACCCTGCAACAGGTTTTCAGAGGTTATATATCACCAAGGAGGAGAATGCTCATCTTTCTCTCAAGGAGCTAATGGCAAATTCAAACCACCAGATTGCCAGCAGCACAACTCCTTATGGGCAATGGCACCAGACATCAAAAAACTAAAGAACACTATTCTTTAGTTAACATTAACAAAACATACTAACCTTTTTCCTCCTAATGAGATGTTCAACCTAATCCCTCTATTCCAAATCACTTTGAAGCAACTCCCAGAATTGTCATTTGAAAATATTTCCATTTTTCACCTTAGCAACAAGAGTATTTGTCTACCATTATTGTAGAAAAGAAAAATAACTAGTAAAATGTGTATGAGGATCCAAGTTGGGGGGGAGTCAGAGAGGTGAGGATGGGCAGGGCGAAATCATAGGGTTGCACAATTTGGTGGGTGGAGAAAGGGGTAGGTGGGTAAAGGAAAAGAACCGGCCTGGCGGGGATCTGGAAAGACCAGGTAATGGTGAGCATAGTTCAGTGAGGAATAATTTTACAAAACATGTATGAGAACTCAAAGGGGGAGGGGGTGGAAATGGAGGGGTAAAGATGGGTAGGGGTGAAACCATAGGGTTGCAGAGTTTGGTGAGTAGAGGAGAGGGGAGAGGGGGGAGAAATGGGAAGGATCCAGGTTAAAGATTAGGTAATGATGGGCAAGGTCCAATGGGATTAATTTTATAAAACATAATGTATGAGAATAATTGTATTCACCAGTGGCCACAAATAGCACAGTTAACAGTGTGGCTCAGGAGCCAGTCAACACTGCTGGGGATGTTTCTGGCAATAAGAAATCAGACTTATCTAATCAGAACTCATCAGATCAGGCCAATGAGGAATGGGAAACTGCTTCTGAAAGTAGTGATTTCAATGAAAGGCGTGAGAGGGACGGAAAAAAAAATGCTGATTTGAATGCACAGACAGTTGTAAAGCCTGGAGAGAATGATTGTATTACACAGAATATGAGGAATAATGTGAGACACAATATGTAAAACCTTTGAAAGCAAATCAATAAAAAGAAATCATAATGAATGGGAATGATTTTCAGAAACACAGTATGAATAAAGGATAGTGTGAAACACAATGTATACGAACTTTGTAAGCAAACGAATATAAAATTAATTTTTTAAGAGTATTTGTCCTCCTAGTATGAGCACATACCATTATCTCACCTAAAAAACTGACAATTCATTAATTTCAAATAATCAAATTCTAATTAAATCATAATCTTTACTCAAGATCCAAATAAGACTCTCAAAATGCAATTTGCAATATGACTTTAATCCTACAAATTAAAAGTTTCATTTAAATTAATCTCTTTTCATTTCTGTAATTTATGGATCACATTTGTCCTCTATATCTCCCATAGTTCGGATTTTGTCAATTTTATCTCTTGCTCTCATTGTATTATTGAGTTAGAACTGATCCACAGTTGACCCTCCACTTGGTTTTCAGAGGTAGTAAATCATACGAGAGGAGAATGTCCATCTTTCTCCCACTGAGAAGCTGGTGGATTCTAATCACATACCTTCGAGCTAGCAACACACCTCCTTACCTCAAGACTACCAGCATTTTCCCCTTCCAGGTAAATTAGTAGTTAGAACTGTTGTTATTTACTATTGACACCAATGTATGCAGAGTTGAACTGTTCCACAGGGCTTTCAGAGCTGTTCTTCTGGAAACATGTCACTAGACTTGGTGTATCCAAGGTGCATCTGAATAGGTTTGAACCCCACCAATCTTTTGACTGTAGTCAATCGCATGTAGTTAGAGCTAAAAAGTTCCAATTTGGGTTCACTTTTTTTTGCACAATTAAATCACCAGTAGAACTGTTTATGTTGATCACAAGGTATATATTGTCTGGTTTTTTTAAAAACTTTGTGACTTGAGTGAAAAGTTTACATAACAAATTGCTATTTCATTCAACTATTCATATACATTTTGCTTTTATGACATTACAATCTTAGCAGCAGTATTCCCATTTTCACCCTGTGATTGTTTCCATTCACTCTTCTTTCTTACCCCTTACCGCTTTCTGAGCTTTATCCCTAAACAAATGCTGACCTTTTGATTTTGTATGGTTGAATGTGTTTAGAATACTTTTCTGGTGTTTACCTTCTACTGTTTGGCTGAGCTGCAGGAATGACAAGCGTGAGTTCAGTCCCACATTTGAAGGGTGACTCAGGATGATAGTCTTGTGGATCCCACCAGTCAGACCATTAAGTATGACTTTTATTATACAGTGTGAATTTTTAACATTCTTTATGGCATGAGTTTCATTCTACATTTTCTCCAAGATCCTCTACTGTGATTTTTTTAAGAGTGATCAGCAATGATAACTGAACACCAACCAGTTCCCAGGTAGCGGAGGTTAAGGTTAAGTGTGGACCATTAGTCCTTTGGACTGTTTCTATTTTCACTATCTTTGCTGTTCTTAACTCTTCATTTAGATTGGGAACAATCCATAATTGCACCTTAAATAGCTTTTAAGAGCTTGGTTGATACCCATGAACGTAGAGTATTGGCTTCTGGACTATGTTATGCCAAATGATTCTGAAGTGTACAGAGACCCAAACCCCGGAACCAGCAACTCAATTTCTCAAGAAGTTTGGTAAAGATTAAGCAGTTAATAAATTTTGGCCCACAGGCTCTACTATAAAGGAATGTATCTACTATACATATAAACAGGCATGTAGAAATACTGTCTGCCAAATACATGTATGTTCATCTTGCCTAACTGCTAATATACCCACATGATGATGTTTATTATTACCAATAATTGTGTATTCTTTATTGTCTGTATCTTTTATGCACTCTCCATGTCTAGCGCCGTTCAACCCTTTTTTGTATATTAACTGTCCCTTCAGCCAAGTAAATATGTCTCTTAGGTACTCGTAGCCATCAAAAAATGTTTTTCTGTATGTAAACCTTTCCGTAGCTTTTTAGAATAGTGGAGTCATATAATACTAACCCATTTGTAGCTGAGATGTCACGCAGCATAAAAACTTTCAAGTTCCTAGATATTAGGAAGTGTACTGCAGATTATTCATTGTTCTTTAACATTGCATAGTACTAGTGTTTGTGTACCATAATTAGCAAATCTGTTTGACTGCTCATGGAAACATGTTTTCACCCAGTTAATAGTACTGCAATGAACATGAGGATGCATACATTTTCTTGTTGCAGCTTTTCCCCCTTCAGCATATATATCTAGTAATGGGATTACAGGATCAAATGGTACTTTTGTTTCCAAATTTTTAAGTAAGCATCACTGTTCTCCACAGTAGATCTTACAGTCCCATCAGCAGTATATGAAAGTTCCAGTCTCTCCACACCTTCACAATTATCTGCCGGTTTTTTTTGGTTTTAATTTTGGTATTGTTGTCGGGGCCCAAACTGCAGCCTCCTACTTCACCATCGATAATATTCTAATTTTATCCTTCCTTCTTTAAGTTATTAGCTGGAATACTTCTATAGAGACACTTCCTGCACAATTTATTGATTTATTCAAAGGTCCAGTTCATACAAGAGAGAGAAGATAAATGTTGTCATCATCTTAAATTATTTTCAAAATTAGCTGTTCTTTATCATCTTCCAAAGGTCATCAAGAATTTTTTAGCATTTAACAAAAATTAATTTAACAAAATTTCATAAGTTTGAATATGTTTCCATTATTATTCCAATTAATGCTCTAAGTCTAATCTTTAGCCAGTAGAAGCCTCCAGCCTCAGGCCTTAAATCAGTCTATTCACCAAGAAACTGTGCATTTTTCTTATTGTTTAGTAAAGGGGCTCATTTTTACAAAAGCATTTTTCATTGGTATGGTACTTTTCTCAATGCAAAACTGGGAACTGTGCCAAAACATAAACCATCTAATCAACACGGAAATACTGTCAGTGAAATACAGTTAGTATGAGACTGGTTCAGTAAAGACTTATAATTTCAATTTCTACTAAAAATACCTTGCACGTAAGCACTTCATAAATATCATCTAGTAATGACTAACCTTTTCAAAGTGATGAATTGCAAGCCAAATCTCCCCTTGTGCATTAAAAACACAGCCAAGATTACTCCACGCTACTGCAAAGTTTGGTTGCGTCTCAATAGCTTTCAAATAACATGCCTTTGGAAGGGTTAATGAAAGAAGATGGGAGGGGAAGGAGGTAAAGGGAAAGGGGGGATTTTGTAAAGGGGAAAAAAGAAGATTGGGGGGGGGAAAGAAGGTGATATCATTATTCCTTCTCTGACCAGCCAAAAGTGACCCTGCAGCATAGGCTCGCTTGCGCCAAAACTAATGCGCTGCCACAGCTGGCTGCTCCTGCGCCTGCGCCACCAGAACCCAAGTGCAAACCACCATGTTCAGTTCTGTCAACCAATGACCAACTTTTATACTTGGGCTTATCTGAGAAATCAATTGTCCTGGGATTCTATGCTGGGCAGTTTTCCTACCCTCACCACTTCTCAGAGTGTACTGTACAAGGTATCAATGGAATAAAAAATTAATGATTAAATTTTTTAAGAAAGCAGACTAAAAGTTTCTTTACTACAATTTTTTAAAGCCTAACAGTATATACAGGATTTCCCGAATTTAGTGAACAATATGATTAGAATACTATGGAATACATTTGGGAATTGTTACTCTCAACAAGTATCACCAGCTATACCACTGAGAGAAATATATTTTTCTGACAAAGTAGATACCATCAAAGCAGGCTATTACGTTATATTCTTTAAAAAAAAAAGCTAAAACCTCATATGACAGGATTGCACCTAGGTTGAGGTCCCTGTAATGCGTGCGCAAACATCGCTTGCGCAACCTAACAGCATCGCGATGCGCAATCGCTGCAAACTGCTGCGCTACATGGAACACCCCCTAGATGCAGCAAACGGCCAACCAGATCCATTAATCTACTAGACAGGCCCACTGGGAATATTTGTTTAATGAGATTAGCAGGACTCAAGGTATGTTAAAGCCCAATTTTATCCAAAAAGGTTACAGAACATGATTGAGGGAGCCAGTCAATCAGATTACCCATCTAGTCAACCGTTCACAGGGGCTTTTTGGAACGCTGCGCATTAACGCTGCGCAGCCTTTGCGCTACTGCAGGGTCACAGCGCATCATCAGAAGAGCAGAATGCTGCAATCCAAACAAAGAAGAAAAAAGGAAAAAAATGAACAACAAGAAGAGTTAGAAGCTTTTACTAGTAAATTATCTAATAATTTAATATCTTAATTTTTACTTATCTTTTGACAGAATTGTGGCTATAGTATATAAAACATTCTCTTACAAAACTTGCTTGTAAATAAAAGTATTTTAAGCTGCTTCTGAAGCCACAAGACAGAAGATTCAGGCATGGAGGCAAATTGTTTTGCTGTGGCAGTTACAAACCCGTTACCATATTTCTCATCATGTGACTTTTCGATGCAGTTCCTTGCTGGAAGAGGAGGAGGTGTGTGTCTGCCCTAGATCCAGGCCTCGAGCTCCCTTCAGCGAGGCACCTTACGCATGGAATAGGAGGTTTCACCCACCTGAAACCTTCTAAATACAATTTCAATGGTGAAAAACCAAAAACAAGAGAGAAAATAAAAACAAGATCATTAGTAAAAGTTCAACAAAGCAATTGAAATTCTTTGGATGTCTATTACATATGGGAATGAGGATAGTCTCAAGTCTGTAACATGGGAAACATGCAGAAGGGAGAGGGTTAATCAGGGCTATTGCATACAGCAGGGGTTTCTGCTGGAAGAAAGGCTCTTCATTTTATAAAGACAATCTCATTTTACTTCCATGTATTAAGAATATGCTGGCTTGAATTTTCAAATGCACTGATTACAAAAGAAATACATTGCTTTCCACTCAGAGTATTTTCTTGTTTACTAAGTTCTCACAAAAAACCCAGAGTAACATTTTTCAAAATTAGGAATCTCCAAGAGCTCTGAAATAAAGAAGTCAACAATCTACGGCAGGCGCAATGTCTCAGCCTAAACCAGTCTCTAAAGCTGCAGTGAAGTGCAATTCATGTTAGCTGTCCGCTTGGTGGGATAAAAATAGGAGCTTGTTGTTCTATAAATTATCAATTAAACTTTTCAACTAAAATTTATTGCTGGAAACCTACAAAAGGTTAATCCAAAGTATCAGGAGCATTTAAAACTAGTTTCTTTTAAAATTAGATGGTACTGAAAGGCCTTCTCCCTCCCTAGACGAAGCAAACAGACAGCTACGCTACGCATACACTCCACGCATTAGCATGCGCGTGGGGCTCAGAGCAATAGATGGGAGTTTCAGAAGCATTCTGGTTTCTCCCCACTCCTCACCCCTGCAGCGCGGTTGCGTAAGGTGGCTTGTAACAAGATATTTTCATTTATAAATGTAATTGTACATTATACCAAAAGCTTTAATAACCCAACCTGGTGTTCAAATTCATTATTTGGAAACAGAATGCTAAAAGCCACCTTTCCACTTTGGCAAGTTTTCTTTCGATCAGTCCATTTCCCAAACAAACCAGCTTTGCCCTTCTTTTTATTTCTTTTTTTCTTAAAGGAATGGGGTGGGGAGGAATAAAAGGAAGGAAGGAAGAAAAGGCAGACAACTAGGACTGAAAAAGAGGAAAAGGGAAACTGAGGGAGGGAATGTGGATAAGGGATGCTCCAATTACTAATTCTAAATCATTTACCAGCCTTTCTTCCACTGTAAAAAAGGGAGATGAAGGGAATAAGGTTAAACAAGAATTTTAAATGCCAGTATTATAGGGTAACATTTGAATGGAATTCTTCTCCACTTACAAGCCACATAGGACTTAGAAGAGCAGCATTTTCAATGGCACCTGCATCATACAGAAGTCTTGAGCCAAATCACAGGTGCTCTGCTTATCATCAGCAGACAAGCCTCAAGATTTGAAGTAATGTTATTTATTCCAACATTAAGATGGAGCCAAATATTATAATGATAATCTGCTTCAGCAGAAAGGCTCTAAAATGTTCATTTTCTTCCTTTACCCCAGATTAACAGGTATGCCAAAGTTTGGCCCTGCTCTAGTCTGGAGTGAATCTCACTTTCCTGAGATTCATAGGACAGTTTTGTGAAGAGTTGAAGATTTTGCAAAAATGTACACATTTTAAAAAACACTGATGTTTAAATGTGTTTTAACAAACACCTACCTTGGCTTCTTCCAAGCGACCCAGGGCTTTAAGCAGGTTACCCAGGTCACTGCGAACACAGTACAAATCCTAAAATCCCAAAATTACTTTGTTATTAATTATACTGTGTCAATAAAAAATTATCTCGTAGTCACTTTTCTTAACCTCTCTTTATCACTTACCTCTGCCAACTAGATACTGCTTGACAAACTTGGACCACAATCTCTCAGCATTGATCCCAAAACATTCAAAAAACCAATTTAACAGTTTAACCTGATGTCAAACTGATTTATAAAGTTTACAATGTTTTACCATAGAAATGTTTATTAAAATTGAGACTTTTAAATGAAAGTACCTGTTAAAATATAAAAATTCTTAATTTTAACTGTATGTTGCCGGATGAGTTTTAAATAAAAGACCACAAACCTTACGGTAGCATCTCCCCACACCAACAGCAGCCATTAAAAAAAATCAAATATACTGTTACACAAAGTTATAATACAAATCACTCCCATCAAAACCCAAAATTTTCCATAGGGAAAACAGTATTTAGCAGATTATCAGTAAATCTGTCCTTAGGTTGTCAGGCATATCTAGTTTGTTGCAGCAAAACACACTATGGACTATGTCATCAGACTTAAAAGAGTCAGGCACACTTAAAAGGATTACCAGTCAACTATTAAACCTGGTATCTATCTACCACTAGATTATGCATTAATATTAAGTGCCATTAGAGTTGAGCATGTGCATAATGAAAAGCAGTCGACTCTTCTTTCTTTTTAGCAACTCTATTTGTGTTGCTAAGTCATCATAATCACCATGCATGCATCAGTAAAAGAGTATGTAAAACAGTATGTCAGACAGTGAAATTAAAATTTTATTTGTCCTATTTGTGTCAATACCTCAATAAGCAGGACAATAAGGAATACAGATTCAATACAGACTGTTCCATAGATAAAAGACCTTTAAATGAAACCCTAGAGTGAAATTCTGTCAAATTTGTCAAAAAGGCATCACATATGTTTTTTCACATATATTATTCTATGGCAAATTGTACTACGATTTTTCAGTCAGGTGATAAATTTTAGTAATTAAGTTGCTAGGTTTTAGACTTTCATCCATTACATGAAACAAAAGTCAGCCAGCAAAGAGTAATTAATATTAAGCCTCAAGAAATAACATTGTTGCATACTGCTGAGTCAGAATGGACTCAAAGTTGATCCTCTAGCTGGTTTTAAGAAGCTGTAAATCAAATGGGAACAAACTGCTCATCTTTCCCCACAGAGCAGTTGGTGGATTTGAACAAAGTGCCTTTGGGGTTGGCAACACAACTCCTCGATACCAGTGTTCTCAAATTAGTCTAAGCACCTTTACTCTGTTAATGATATAGTTGCAGCTACATCATATAAGAACAGTATGTATATAAGATACATACATTTTGGCAGACTAAACTAACAGCATAATAACAACCCAATCTTAACAGACATTTCACCAAAGAGGGCATTCAAATGAATAAACAGATGAAAAGATGTGCAATGTTATTAGCCATGGGAAACATGCCAATCAAAACTATAATGATACCATTTTATTCCCACCAGGATGGCTAAAAGTAATCATTTTACTGGTATTTTCTGCTTTAAGATCTGATTTCAAGAATGATCTTTTTCATTCCCAGGGCTCTTCGGAATCCAGCCTAATTTCTAGCAGTTCCCTGTTGATGTACTGCTTCAGCTATTATTTAATAAGCTTCAGCAAAGTTTTACTTGCATTTGACATTAATGATATTGTTCTATAGTTTATGCATTCTATTGGATCACCTTGTTTTGGAATGGGCACAAAAATTAAACTCTTCCAGTCACTTGGCCTTCCAAATTTGTTGGCATAGATGAGTGAGCACATTCAATACTGTGTCTGTTGAAACACCTCAACTGGCATTCCCAACAATTCCTGAGTCCTTATTTAATGCCAATGCTTTCAATGTAGCTTTGACTACCTCTAGCACCATTGGCTCTTGATGATATGCTACTTCGTTAAATGGTTTAGTGTCAACACATTCTCTTTGGTACAATGACTCTGTATATGCCTATTTCATGCCTGTATTATGACATAGCAATTTGCCCATCTTTCTCCTAAGGGGCAGCCAGTGGATTCCAACCACAGGTCTCTGGGTTGATTATACTTTCTTACCACTTTGACTCCCTATTTGTGGCTTAGGTAAATGATTCCATGGTCATCCTAGTTTACTGGTCCAATAAGGTGATTACACAAAACTGATAAAAGACTTGCACTGAGGAAATATGCTGTCAAAGACCTCTCCAAAGTGTAAAGAGTAAGGATGTGAGTTTAAAAATTATGGTGTGGCTGATAAAGGCTATGGCATTTTAACTGCTTCCTATGCATTTGAAAGCTTAGACAATGAAGAAAAATAATTTAAAAAAAGAAGAATTAATTCTCTTTGAATTGTGGTGCTGGTAAAAATTACTGAATATCCCCATGGGCTGCCAGAAGAACAAACAACTCTGTCTTGGAAGAAGTACAACCAGTGGGCAGGGAGAGAAGTGCAGCAAAGAATGAATGGAAATCCAAAATGTCTGTAAATGTTCATTAAAATTAATAAAATTTTTTTTTAAAAAAAGTGCAACCAGGGAGCTTCTTAGAGGCGAGGATGGTGAAGTTTCATGTCACACACTTTGGGCCTATTTTCAGAAGGAATCAGTCCTTAGAGAGAGACATCATGATGGAAAAGGTAGAGAGGGTCAGGGAAAGAGGACGACCCTCAACAAGACGGAATGACATAGTTATTAGCACAATGGGCTTGAGTGTGACAAGAGCATGAGGATGATGTACAATAGAACAAGGTACAGAACTGCTGTTCATATGGTCACTATGAGTCATAGTAAAGATGGCAGAGACCTAACAACAAAGTGTTTCATTTAGGCATAGTGCCCGTGGTGTCAGAACCTTTGAAAACTGGCTTTTTTAGCCACTGAGTTAGTCTTGCAAATCATTAAGCTTGGAGTTGGAACCACAGTTAAAGGTTTTGCTTGCTGGATGACTGAAGGAAAACATGATTTGCAACTGTTCTGAGATCAAGTTTAGTGGACAACTGAGGAAACCAGAGGTTTATTTGTGCTGCTGATCTGGACCTAGACATTCATTTATTGATTGAGAAGCAGTATGAAATAACTGAGGAACTGTGCCTTGTTAATCTGGCTTGGGACTGCTGGACTAAACGTGGACTTGCACTGTGTGATAGTCTTTGTCTCTCTGACTTCCCAACCAAATTCCCTAACCCCACAACTGTGATTAAAGTCAGTGAGAAAAGTTGCAATGAACACTGGACCCAATGGTTGGGAGGAATAGGTAAAGGAGCATGTAGGGTGGCATGTCTAACTTTGTAGTTGTTTTTGGTATTACGGAAACTATTATGAGGACAGTTCCCCTTTATGAAGTGCGTGGAAGTCAGACATGGCCGCCTCCACATTGTATCTGCTCCTTATACAGTGCCTAAGTTCTTAAAAGCTTAGAAGGGACTACTGAAGGCAAAATAATAGGTCTCTAATCACCTGGGCCTGGAAGCAGGAGCAGCATCCACTTCCTAAATGGCTTGCCTCCGGAAACTCTACATACAACGTTCATAGGGTCGCTATGAGTCGTCTACGACTCGACGGCATCAAACAACAACAACAATAATCACCTGGGCAACAGAGAAAAAAGGTAAGTCAGAATACCAGGAGGATACGTAACGTGTGGTTGTTTTTATGAACAAATGCCTCCTCTACTATGAGACCAGAAGAACTGGATTGTGTATGTGCTACCACCACTACAGAACATTTTTAACTAAGATTCCTCAGAAGAATCTTGATCAAAAGGCAGAAAATGCAAAACAGAATTTCAAATTCTCATAGATTCCAGACTTTCTGAAGCCATGGAAGCTTGAAGAACATTTGACACTACAATCCTAAAATAATTTTTAAATCTTAAACGGAAAATAGACCATGAAGTCATCTTAAAAATGAACAGCTGGGGAGCTCTGGTAGCCTAGTGGCAAGGAGCTGCAACTACAATCCCAGAGGCGAACGGTTCGAATCCACCAGATGCTCTGCCGGGGAAGGAGGGACAATCTCCTCCTGTACCAGTCAGATCTGATTTGACGGTACACGCACACAAAAATAATAAAATTTTTTAAAAAAAAACAACCAAAAAAAAGTGAACAGCTGTTTAGCTTTTCAGGTCTACCTGGAGTCTTAAGCGCTATATAGGATCCCACTGGAACTGTTTAAAAATTAAATCTTTACATGCATCAAAAACCTTTTTTATGAAAAAGTAAAAAGAGAACCTACAGATTGGGAGAAAATATTTGGCAACAACATATTCGACAAGGGTTTAATCTCTACATTTAGAGAAAATTCTGATATCTCAACAAAAGAACAACCCAATTTTAAAAGGGAGAGAGGACATTTAAAGATACTTCACCAAAAACATTGCACTATCTTTGTCTCACATAGTTTGTCAGGAGGAGCCAGTTCTTAGAAAAAGACATCATGTTGGGAAAGTTGGAGAGTAAGAGAAAAAAGAGGAAGACTCTCAATAAGATAAATTGACACAGGAACTGTAACAAATGGACAAGTAACAGAGATGGTGAAGATGGCATAGTTCCAATTATAGCAAGGATGACACTAGATGGCAAGGTTCCAATGTATTGTTCATTGAGGACAGTAATGAGCTGTAGTCGACTCACTGGCAAAAAGAACAAACAACAGACACATACTAAGGGGTGACAGGAAATGAAGTAATCAACACAGTAACATTCTTTAATGATAGTACCTTTCTTTAAAGGGAAGACACAAAGTAGTGACTCCAGGGACCTATGGTGGTAAGAAGCTACAATACCAATCCAAAGGTAGAAAGTTTGCTGCTCCTCAAGAAGAAAGATAGGCCTCTCCTATGATTTACAGCCTCTAGGGAATATTTTTTTGTGGGCTGACCTGAGGCCTGGGGCCTTTGGAGTCTCCCTCTACTCTGGAAGTTAGCTGACTGACTGACATCTCGGTGGAGGTCTTGTCTTGGCGGCAGTCAGGCAAAGGAAG